CTATTTGCAAGGGCAACTACTATTCACGTGAATAGTGGCTGCCCTAGCTCCCCCTTGCCATGGCAAAGGGCAAATGGGTGGCGTTGCTCTAACAGCCATATATAAATATATATCAGACCAAAGTCAAAATCAGATGCTGGAACCAAAATAAGTAAAGGCACACTGAAAAAGAATGATATTATGAATTTTCAATTACCAGTTCATCAGCGCCTTCTTCCATAACGAAACCATCACGGTATTTGCCCCAGATTTTCTCTCATCAACTTCCAGATAGGCATCTTACCAAGTCACACTGCTCCAACTCTTCAATTTCCAGATCGGGATCTCAAGCCGCAGCCTAGTATTTTGTGACCAGATGGCTTTGTGATTCACGCAAAAAGAATAAGAGAGAGAGAGAGAGAGAGAGAGAGAGAGAGGTGAAACAAATCATTCATTTTTCTCTCTTTTGCTTATGTCCAAGTGTTTGAAGTTGAGAAATAAAAAATGTGTTTTAACATTGGGCTGTGTGAAAATATCCAATGGAAGAAACTACCAAAAGCAATAAGTATCCAATTTAAGGCCAAATGCCAAAGCTGCTGAGTGAAGGGAGCCAGCCAAACTTGTTTGTGTTATTTGTGAATGGAGCCGGCTTCTTTTGATAAGTTGGGACTGATAAAAATGCCAAAATATTAAGGAAAAATAATGAAAAATACTTACACACTAATATCTATCCCAAATACCTTTAATAGGCATGGTGGGAGAATTAGTATCCAAAAAAAAAATCACTAGGCACTTTTATGAATTTGTATCTAAATAATTAGTGGCTAGTAGCCATATTTCTAGTAGTGAAATTGCAATTCATTTGCAATAAAAACAGTACACTATGTAGACATCAAAATGGTAGGATGCATCGCATTTATGGAAAACGACATAAAAGAGCACTCATTTCTCTTTTGCTTCAATTCTATAGTACAATTAAGTCTAAGTTCTCTACTCTTTCAAAGGGCGAATCTCGACAGAAAAATAACCAGTATAAGGGTCGTAAGTAAAACCACAATTTGCATCGCGTTTCGGGCACTCAAATTCCAAGTGTTCCCCTTCCTTCCCACATATTGAACAATCCTTGAGAAATGCACGTCCTAGGCTTGTGCCACAATCAGCACAACGTGAATCTCTAAAGAGGCAGCCACATACAAGACATGCAACCACACAACTCTCGCCAACAATTGCGTCCTTTGGGACTTTATACTTGTAAGAGCATTGGTTTGTTGGGTGCTTATTCACCTTTAAACAATACTTACATTCACCTGTGTGCGAAATTTGTAAATCCATTGTTAAATACAACGAAAGCAATAAAAACAATCATTTTTTAAAGACAACGAATGCATGAAGATGATAAAACCCAAAAATCAGTATTGTGAGCATATTACATAGAATAACAACAAATACATAGATATTATGTAAATAGAGAAGCCACATGCTCTTTTTTTTTTTTGGTCCCTAAAATCAAAAGCATACCAATAAGATTAGGACGGAGATTAGGACGGAGGAGGCTATTGCTTAACAATAATATAGTTAGACTATCACTAGTACTAAAAAAATTCAAAAGCATACCAATAAAACATCCTTCATCCTCTGATTCTTCAGTCTCTGATTCTTTATACTCTGATTCATCAGACTTGCTCCCTATTTCCATGCAATTACATTGTTAAATACAAAAAGAAAAAAATAAAAAGAAAAAAAGGGTGATGATGTCAAAGAAGTTAGAAGGAATGACATCTATGATCCCACTATATTATTAAATATCGGTTTTACATCATGCAAACACCAAAGTAACTTGGCTGGAGAAGTCATCCTTTTAACATATGAGTTATTTTCCACATGACAAAGAATAACAACAAATGCATAGATATTATGTCATAAAATAGAGAACCTCTCGTCTCTAAAATAAAGAGCATACCAATAGAATTAGGAAAGCGGAGGCTAGACTATCGATTGTATTCACGCACACAAAAAGCAAAAAACAAACAAACAAAAGCATACCAGTAGGACTACGAGGGCCCTCGAACAGATAAAAATAAGTACGAATTTCTTCTTCCGTTAGATCTGATAGTTTTGTACTCTCTGATTTAGTCTTTGGTTCTTCAGTCTTGCTATCTGTTAGAAGGAATGACGTCTATGATCCCGTCAACAAATAACTAAATTATTAAATATCGGATATCCATAAGGCACACACCAAAATAACTTAGATAGGAAAATCATCTTTAAAAACTAATTCAAAATTTTGGCATAACATATGTCCTCTAATTACAGCAACAAAAATAAAAGAAATTTCATATAATCTTCCTCACAAACCCTAATAATTAAAATCAATAGCATACATGAGCCGAAGGACATAAGGGAGGATATAATAACAATATTACTGAGTGGAGGCAAGGGCCTTCACTGGACCCTTCCGCCCCTGCTACTGGACAGACCAAATGTGAAATATTTTCAATGTACAAAGAAAATTTTTCATACACAAAAGTTGTGGCATAAAATTTAAAGCCCAAGTAATTAAATTGCAGATAGTCTTGGTCACCCTTGAATTAAAGGAAAAACGAAAAGCATATATACATACCCATTATTGGCGTATTGCAATTCCTGCTTCTTTCTCCACCTCATGGCTACATGAATTGGGATGACATGGGAACGGATGCTGATGTCAAATTGTGGAGTTTCTCCATTTAATAATCAACTTTATTTTAGTTGATTCTAATATATTTTATTTTACTTGTAACGAAAAGGATTAGCAGCGTCAGTCGTTCGTTTATGAGTAAAATATAGGGGGTTTCACTAAAACACCCAAAATGGGAGCTGAAATTATAAAAAAACCCAACACCCAAAACACTTTATAAACACACCCAAAACCCATCATTACACACACTCAAAACCCATTTATAAACACACCCAAAAAATATACAATTGTTGATTTTGGGGTTGATTTTGGGTGTGTTTCTATGTTTAAATAGTGTGTGGGTTTTTTTATAAATACATGCCTAGGATTGGATTTATTTATAATAATCTAAAGAAAGAATGCGTTTCTTACTTACATGTTATATAAGGCGGTTTGGTGGCTTGATTGAATAACCGACCATATTAGGACCATATTAATCAATATTATTTTTTCCATTTAAGTCTTGATTAAATAAACAAATACCCCAATGCACGCATCTTTAATAACTAGGGCATTAATTTCTAGTTTTGATTTTCCGATTTGGTTTGGGATTTTCGTTTCCTCAACTGGAGCAGGAATATTTTGGTGATTTTGTTTTACGTTTCCTTTTGCTTTTCAAGTTTGCGCTAATACTTCCAATCCAATCCCATTCCCCTCTGTCCTCCTTCCTCTTTTCTTTCCATCTCCTCCTTGGACTCCTCCTGCTCTGTTGCATGCTCAAGTCCTCACTTTATTTATGTTTTCTTTAACAATTATTTTGTGTGCTAATTTGTCTTTAACCATTGGTTTTGCCTTTTCTTTTTTCTCTTTCGTATCATATATTTTGGAACTCTTTTTAAAAAAATTTCATTGGAGTAATTATCTGCAATGATGGAGTTCCTTAATGTGGCTTATAAGGCTCGTTTGCTTGTATTTTTTCTTCTTCTTCTTTTTTCCCTTTCTTTTTGGTCCCTCCATATACTATTATTCTTTTGTATCTTTTTAGTTTTCAACATACCGGAGCATGCAAGAGACATACTTGTATATGAAATGTGAAAGCTTAATGAAAATGTCTTATTTTAGTCCCAAACAAAATCATGTTAAACTGCATATGATATGATTTTAGCCCAAGACTTCACATATGTTAGCGAGATCCTAGTGTAATTAGGAGATTTACTTCCTAGTATATTATGATTTTACTTATTTCCCTTTTTTGTATTGATATTATGTAATTAGGACTTTAACTTATTTCCTAGTATAACCCTGCTAGGGTTTGTAACCTTGTATTATAAATACCTCATTTCGGAGAATGAAATATATCTGAAAATATTCTACCCACTTTGTTTGACTTGGCATCAGAGCTGACTTTCTGGTGACCTGTGTGTGTTGTGCCCATCCGTGTTCTACTGTGTGCCCTAATTTCTTTTAGGGTTCTTGTGTCTGTGCCTGTGCCTGTGCCTGTGCCTTTGCCGTGTTCCGCTGTGTACTATGTCGTGTTCGTGCCTCTACTGTGTGCCTCTACTGTCTTCGTGCATCTGCCGTATTTGTGTCTGTGCTGTGTTCTGTTGTATACTATGCGTGATTTGTTGCGTTTCTACTACAATCATGGGTGATAATTCCATTGTTGGTGCTGCTGCTGCTTCTGCGAATTTGCGTGTCTCTGACTCTATTCCAGGTACTGGCTCTAATACTTGGATAATTGACACTGGTGCTTCTGATCATATGACTTATGATGCTAAATTTTTTGATGAGTTGTCTAGTAACACCCGTGACCCATACATAACTAGTGCTAATGGCTTGCCCTCTCCAATTACTGGCGAGGGTACAATCTCTCTCACCCCAACTCTGTCCTTGTCTCGTGCGTTATTAGTTTCCAATATCCATTGTAACTTGTTATCTGTTGGTCGATTACTTAATACACTTAATGCTTCTGCTACTTTATATCATACCCATTGCTCTTTTCAGGATCTCAAGATTCACGAGATGATTAGGCATGGTAAACGGATAGGGGGGGTTATATTATTTGACATTGCCTTCTGCACTAATTCGTGATCGTGTCGTTAATATTGTTCAAAGTTGCAGTGTCAAAGACAAACAATAAATTTGGTTATGGCATCGTCGCTTGGGACACTCGTCATTTGGCTACCTTAAGCGTCTGTTTCCATCTTTATTCCGCTCCTGTGATGAGTCCAGTTTCAAGTGCGAGACATGTATTTTGGCCAAGAGCTATCGCACTTTGTTTCCTTTGAGTGACAGTAAAGCTGCAAAACCTTTTGATTTAGTGCATTCTGATGTGTGGGGTTCGGCTCGCGTTACTTCGAACGGATTTCGTTGGTTTGTCACTTTTATTGATGATTGTACTCGACTTACTTGGGTTTTCTTGCTGAAAAATAAACATGATGTTGCTTCCATCCTTCCAGAGTTTTCTACTATGGTGTCTACTCAGTTTCATGCTCGGATCAAAGTATTCCGGACAGATAACGGAGGTGAATATGTGAATAATACTTTGGCGTCTTTCTTTCGTGCTAAAGGTATTATTCACCAAACGACAACTCATTTTACTCCTCAAACAAATGGTGTGTCTGAAAGAAAGAACTGACAATTGCTTGAAGTTGCCCGCTCACTCATGTTGGATATGTCTGTTCCCCATCACCTTTAGGGTCATGCTGTTCTGTCTGCTGCCTATTTGATTAATCGTACTCCTAGCCGGGTTCTTGATTTCAAGACTCCGCATGATGTGTTTGGTGACCATGTTTCCCATGTCTCCGTTTCTAAGTTGCCCCCTAAAGTTTTTGGGTGTGTTGCTTATGTTCATGTCTACTCCCATCAACGGAGTAAACTTGACCCTTGTGCTCTCTGCTGCGTCTTCATTGGCTATTCTACTACTCAGAAGGGTCATAAGTGCTATCACCCTCCTACTCAGAAGGTACATGTTACTTTGGATGTCATCTTTCATGAAGAAGTACCATATTATGTTTCCCCCCTCCTCTTCAATTCAGGGGGAGAGGGAGAGTGAATTGAAGAGTTTCAAAGTGAAAAATATGGAAGATCTTGGTCGTGAAGAAGGAATCTCTAGCGAACAGGAAGCGACCGGTCGCTGGGAAGAGACGACCGGTCGCATAGAAGTGAGCGACCGGTCACCTTCCTCGATGAGCGACGACGATGCGAGTCCAACGATACGAGTCCAGCGACCGGTCGCCGGGTGATGTTTTGGAAATTTTTGGCTCTACCCCAGAAGAACGTGACAGTGATACTAGCGACTCTTGTGTAGATGAGATCGATACAAGACCCCCTTCTGTCCTGCCATTGCAACAGTCAAATCATGATACTGAGTCAAGTGAGGTAATGTCTGATGATCTGTCTGTGTCTACTTATCAATTACCCCACGAACTAGTCGTGGGAAACCCAAAGTACAATATTCTCCTGATATACATGCCAAATCTAAATATCCCATTAGCCATTATGTGACAACTCATCGTTTATCTAAGTCATATGCATCATATTTGTGTCAATTATCTAGTGTATGTGTGCCCACTAAGCTGCAGGATGCTCTATCTAACCCCAAATGGACGGATGCCATGAATGTGGAAATGGATGCCTTGAACAAAAATAAGACGTGGGATTTAGTTCCTTTGCCACAAGGGAAGAAAGCAGTTGGATGCAGATGGCTGTTTACTTTGAAGCATAAGGCTGATGGTTCTATTGATCGTTACAAGGCTAGATTGGTAGCCAAGGGGTATACTCAGACATATGGAGTGGATTATCTGGAGACATTTACCCCAGTGGCAAAGCTCAACACTGTCCGTGTGCTTTTATCTCTTGCTGCTAACCACGATTGGCCCTTATTGCAGTTTGATGTCAAAAATGCTTTTCTACATGGTGACCTCCAAGAAGAAATTTATATGGATCTTCCTCCTGGTATTCCTGTGACCTCTAAGGAGGGTGTTGTATGTCGGCTACAGAAGTCATTGTATGGATTAAAACAGTCTCCAAGAGCGTGGTTTGGAAGATTTGTTGCATCTATGAAAAAGTTTGGGTATGTGCAAAGTAACTCCTGGCAAGGGATTGTTGTTTTCCAAATATGGTCATACAGATGTTGAAGGGTATACTGATGCTGATTGGGCTGGTTCAGCTACTGATAGGCGTTCTGCGTCTGGGTATTTCATGTTTGTTGGTGTTAACCTTGTTACTTGGAGAAGAAAGAAACAAAAAGTGGTGTCTCGCCAACCACATGATTTCATTGAAATAGATCCAACGACTAAGCACCTCATTCCTCAAATGATGACACTGAATCTCTCAACTGCATGCATGGCACTATATATATATATATTCTTCAGCAAGAATATTCTAATTGCCCCCAATAATATCTATATTCCTATGTGCATACATTGCTTGTCACGTGCGTATGTCCCCATCATTGACTTGACGCTAGCTCTT